CAAACATACACAGAAGCATCAACTTAATAGGAAAAATGAAAGAGGCTATTATTTTCAAGGGAAACGGTGTAATCCATTATTTTCTGGATCCTTTTAAAGTCAAGATGGTCTTCTGCAATTAACTTTTTCTCTCCTAGGATTCTAGCATAATACCTCTGGAATCTCACTAGAGTTTGTTGACGGCCTCAAACCATTATCTTGGATTGCAAGGCGGACTTCTTTATTGCCATCCTGACACAAGTAGCCCAACTGGGGAAAATTATTAGTGTATTTTGTCTACAGCTTCAGACTACCCAAATGAGAAGATATTCACAATGGGCCCATCTGTTCATCCTCCCCTTAGTGCAACAATTAAACTGAAACAGATACAGCTTTCCCAGCTCCTTTCCAGTTGATTAGCAGTCCCTGCATCATTACAAGGCCCAGTCCGTTCTAACCTTAAAGTAATCTCAGCCATGTTATGTAAATTTGGAAACCCAATCATTTAGGGGCTAGTGGCAAGACTGAATGGGAGCAAGACCTTGATCAATTAGCCTGACAGTGTGCTGTGTGTGATCTCCCTGTAAGGAATTATTAGGTCTGGATTAAGACCTAATAATTGGCGCTGTGGAAAGGTGGCTGTCATCCACTAAAGTGGCCAAGGTTGGACAACACTGAGTTAGGTACATGGAATAAATGCAAACTCTTCTCTGCAGCATCATGCTTCATTGAAGTCCAGATGGGACACATCAGAAAGATTCTGACTTTCCACCTTTTCATTCCTGTGACTGACTCAGCTACTCCATGAAGAAATCTGCACAGCGAATGGAGATATGTTCACCCCACGCTTCATTCAACCACCCATCTGACTCATGCCAAACCAGCATGCTCATCAGGAAAGAAATCCAGGAGTGTAGTTTTTGCCCCCCCCCCTTAATTGATTCAGAATTGAAAAATGGAACTTCCTAATCTTAGAAAGTGTCACTAAAATGATCCAAGATCAACCAGCTGAGAAGTGAACTATCAAGCACAGTGGCCAATGTTAGTTCAGCTTGTCTTTTGAAAGTCTTAACCAGGTCTGCTACCAGGTGTTTTCCAGCAGCCACAGCTGACTCCATCCCTCTCCATGCTTGCCTTTGCTACCATGCCATCTCATAATCCCCAGAATCTTCTCAGTAGAGAGCAATCAATTGCACTCTCATTCTTGCTTTCATCACACTCAATGTGAAAAGTGTGACCAGGCTTCCCAAAAGGAACTCTTTCTTTGGGATAGACAGTCTCTGAGTGGCCAGGGAAAGAGCCTGACCTTGACAACAGTGAAGATTGCTGAAACATCACCCTCTACTCAGCGATTAAAAGGTGTGTCGGAAAACCTGAAGGAAGCCCCATGGGGCAAAGGACAGACATGTCCTCGTTGGCCGAGCATTTCAAACACCTCTGGTGGAGGGGCAAGGCTTCCTCACTCAGACATGAATAGAAAAATACCAGTAGCTCCAGCTTCGTACACAGAATTAGCCAGCCAATGCCTTGGCTGCAGCCTTCTTAAAGAACTGATCAGACATCCTTTAGAAGATTTACATCCAAGGGTCCCACCGGTTACGAGATAATGGCTGCTGACCTCGGAATCTGTCAAGTGGAATAAATCAGGACAGGAAGAAACACTGCCCTTGGGCTTACCGTATATTGGGCCATCCTTGTAAAAATATCTGAAAGAGAATGTTTTATACATCTTGTCACAAATATATATTCTAGGGTGCCAGCCTGAAACTTCCAAATGATTTGTTCTCCTATGAATGCAATCTCCAGATCTCTCTGTCTGCTCTGCTGGCAGGGGCAGGGAGACCATGCAGCCATGACAGACACCCTGGCCAATCCAAAATCCTGATTTTGCTCCTCAGTCGTGGGGTTATGGTTGCGCCCCAGAATGCCCCTCCTGTTCAGTCAGGCTCAGAGATCAAGGTTGCTTTTTCCCTGGAATGACTGCCTTCCCCAGGGTGGTCAGAAGGCAAGGCTTGTGCACCTTTTCAGCATTGTGCAGAGGTGGCAATTTCAGCCATTATCACCCTTCTCAGGGCAGATTCTTGTCACTGGCCACGCAACGCTCTGTTCTCTCATTTAAGTGCTTGTGTGTGGACGCAGCATATTTACTTATCAATTTATTTTATCTGCACCAATCTTTCCAGCAAGAGGCCCTCTGGCCAGCTAAGTGATCAGATCTCCGACACAATGAATTGGCCACAAAAGATGCAGAGGAATACAAACAAGAATGAAGCAGCAAAAGCCATTCATAGAAAGCCCTGGCTCTACTAATTTTTTGTTTCCATAATAAAATGGATTTCTATCTCTGAAGAGGGAGATCGCAAGGTGCAACTTACGAGTTTTCTGGAGTAAGGGAAGAGTACTATCTTCTCCCTGCAAGAAATTCTGAGTGGATCTCTTTAAACTGATCCTGACCACCCTTATACAGAAGGTTCTCTGCACGTTGATGCTGGGTTGAGGGTTGCACCCATGTGCTGTTCTGAAGAGTGCCTTTTCTACTCACTTCTTTGACTATTGCAGTGGGCTAAGGATAAGACACCATCCAAACCGCAGAGCAGGCATTCAATTGTGATATCGCTTCATGCCTGTATCTTTCAAGCAGGGATGGGCCAGTTATGAACCTGCAAATTCCCTTGAGAATGGACAGCAGAATTTCCCACCATGTTGAAAGAAGCAGCAATGACAATGGTAATACAGTACAGCCCTCAATTAAAGATCATAGTTGAAAGTACAAAAGAAGCCCCCCCCACACCAATTCTAGCCCCATCTACATTTGTGACCTCATTCCGCCTAGCAGATCTTCCCACAAATTTGGAGCTTATGGGAGCGCAAATACAGCTGTCTTCAACTCTTTAAAGCATCCATGTCTTCTCCAAGCATCACCTGGCAGCCGTAGACGGCAGCCACACCATCCCAGAAAAAAAACGCTGTTGTTTTAAAAGGACACAGAGAAGTGCTGCATTCAGACCCTCCAGTGCCCTGAAGCATCATTTTGAACCTGAATCCAAAGCTTCATTACTTATGTTATTTACGTTTTTTGCCCCTCAGTGACATTTTGTTAAATTCGAGTATGTGCTTGAATTAATACCTTCTTCAAAATTTAAGCACCTTGGGGGTTCTTGACTGTAAGAACCACAGGATCTGCAAGTTGTTCTTTCTCTCACACACATGCATTCAGCACACACTCGGTGCCTATCCTGACTCAAAAGTGCATCTATGAGTTAGCGGCAATCAAGCCCCCGCTTTCTACAGTTCACGCTTCTGCATTCTGAACCAAGAAACACATTAAAAATCTTGAATGTAAACTTGAATGTAAAATAGGTACAGCATAGTTTACAAAAAGCATGTAAGAAAGTGTCTCTTGCACAGTGCCGCTCTTGGATCTCCTCCGAGGGTGAAACAGGGGGGCCCACCTACCGCAAAGTGGCTTAGCCTGCAACGGAAGAGAGTATTAAAGGAAATTGCAGTACATATAATTATACAGTATATGTTTTCTACCATTCAGGGGGTGTAAAGAGAGGACCTTTCTTGATTGTCTGTGCAAGTGAAAAGCATCTGCAAAGACAGCTGCGCCACAAATGACTAACACGGAAGTAGATAAGCAATTTATGTTAGCAATTATCACGGGCCTCTGTTCTGTGGGAGGCTGCACCATTGCAAAACAGCTCCTCAAGCCTCCCTCTTTATTAAGACTGCGGGGCCTCGTGGCTTGGCAAGGTCCCAGGGAGGTGAAAGGCCGTTGGGAGATTTCCCCTCCTAGTAAGATGATGGGTGTATCCTTTAGCATTTGCTTTTGCTGAACTTTGGCGGAAGGTTACTTGAAAAGCTCAGACCTAAAAATGATCCCCCGCCCCGCCCCGCCCCAGAGCAGGAATCAAATTGGAAACAGGAATATTTCAGGGATATTCGACGTTCCACCTTCTCGTGATGGGACCGTTACCAAAAATACGGCATATCTGCAATACGGACAGCTAAAAACTCTGTGATTACTCAGAAGTTTCTATTCCAGGGAAACAGGGTTTAGCCCCAATCCGCTCAGGGGACTGGGCCGCCCCGGTATCGACAGGGACAGGCTTAACGGGGCGAGGCCGGCTTCGCCCGGAAGCTAAGCCGGGCTGCTGCTGAGCCAGCCAGCCCAGCGCGCAAAGGGGGCGCCGCCGGGGCGCCCAGGGGGGCCGGCTGCAGCCCTGCTTCCCTCCCGGAGGAGACAGCGGACCGGGCGACCCTGCTCCCCTTCTTGGGGCGGGGGCAGAGCAGGAGGCTCGGCCGTAGCGGGCGGCAAGGGAGAGCCAACTTCACGCCTTCGCAGCCAGGGTTGCCGAACCGGCGCCCAGGCTGGGCGGGCTCGGTCTCAAGGCAGCCGGCTGAGACAGCGCAAGCCTCGCCGCCGCTCCCGGCACCAGTCCGTATCGCAGCGCCCAGAGCAGCGGCATTCGCCTTCCGCGCTTCGCTGGCTGGCCCTCCGCGCAGCCGGGTCAGCCTCGGCGACTTCTCCGGGGCGCCCTGGGGG